TAGTTTGAGTAATATTTTAGATTGTTTGATGTGTGTTTGCAGTGAATAAACCGAGCATTCGAAAATGTCTAAGAGCGTTAAGTAATTATTGATCGCGCCACTCATGACACAAGAGTAAGCAGTAAAGAAAAAATCGTCAACTGTTTGCACTGAGCCTCAGTTATAAGTCCCTTTGAACTCAGTTTTAGAGAATATAGTGCTTAGATGGGAGAGAGTATTCAGAATTAAAAGTCCTTCTTGATCCTTTATAGGATATACTTGAATGGGGATTCTTTTTTGATCCGTGACACACCTCCCCTCACCCCCAAAACCAAAGTGAGATGGCTTCTAATCAAGTTGACTAGGTATCTTTGTGTCTTCACACTTTGATATCAAATTATCTAGACCTCACAGCATCACAATTAAATTGGCTTCAATGTATGGACAGGTCTTTGACTTTCCGGGTCTGCTAGTAATCCAGAGTCCCTTTTTTTTTGTCCGCTCCTTATTTAACCGTCATTGCCTAGAGAGCTCCATCAACCTAGCACTTTCCACCCTGAGCTCTTTCTGACGCAAGGGGTTGCTCACAGAGGTCCAGGATGATCGTGACCAGGTTGCTCAAATCCAGCAATGGGATGTTTTCCTTTTGCTAGACACAGCACAGAGTTGCTGCAGGGTCACCTGGTACCCACGTAGTTTTCTGTATTCAATTAGCTGGATTCCTCTCCAGAAGGCAAGTCTGCATGTCCCCGCAGAGGCTCAAGGGACCAGTGTCTATGTCATCAAACCACCACTGGCACCTGTGCTCTAGCACAGCTGATGGGCTGAGCAGACGAGATCATGTCCCACAGGCAGAGGCAGTGGCCAGGGTAGGAGAACCAGGTTGCCTCACCTGCTTACCAGGCAGCTTGGAGAGAACTAGTAGCTTCCATCTCCGCAACTGCCCAGAGTCTGGCTCTTCTCACCAATTCTGAAATGCACAACAATAGATGGGGGGGGGGGGAGGAGGAAAAAGGAAGGAGGAGCAAGCCAGATAATCCAGACAACCACAATATCTTAGAAGTGTAGACACCCCCAGCTCTAAAAATTCAGCTAAAGAAAAATCTTCAAAACATAGAACTGTATGTCTGAAAGAGGCTTCACAACTCATTCAATGCACTTGTGCTGTGGATGAAATCAATGAGAAGGAGAAAAATATATTCCCCTAAGATGACATGTCCACTAAATGGCAAACCTGGAATGTGAATCCAGGTCTCGGATGCTTGTGACATTCCAAAGAAGATTTTGGAGGCCTTTCTTTAATACAGGAATTCCTGGGTGCAAATGGTAGACACAACCAAATGCTAACCAGAAATTTGATAGATTTTTTTCTATCTAAGGCACCATAGAATAAATACTGCTTCCCCAAAGTCAGCCATTGAAACCCAGAAGGAGCATAGTTCTACTCTGATAGGGTCTCTGTAAGTCAGGGGCAATTTGATGGCAACTGGTTTGGCCTTCTGTAACACCAGAAATGGAAGGAGTGCAATTCACAAAAGCTCACTGGAAGCAACGGATGTTCACCCCAGGACCAGGGCCAGATATGTGCCTGGACTAGGTGCTGCCACATACCTTGCAGGCTGACACCTCGGGGCACCAGACCGTGCAGCTCCACAGTGGGGAGGTCATCTTCCAAAGCATTGGAGTTGTTGAGTGGGACTGATCTCCTGCCTCCCAAGCTGGTGGTAGATGTTTCTGACATTCTCAGCTTCACAAGCAACTTGAGGGGAACATGGAAAGGGACATGTGGAATGAATTTCATTTGGGGCAAGGATTCAAAAATAGAGAACTAGACATATCTGTTTATAATAGAGCTTGAACAACATCTCCCAAATTTCACATAAATAAAAACCTCATGACCATGAAGGTCAGTCTTATGTGTCTACTGGTGGATAAAGTTCCCCAAGGGTCTTAGAAATATTTGACATTTGTCCAACCATATGTAAAGCAAAAAAAAGGGGTTTTATTTGAAGAAACAAAAAACATAAACAATTTGAGGCAGGTTTATTTTTAAAGCCTTTCAATCCTCCTAGGGGTAACACCTTTTAAGAAACATTTACTGCCATATATATACCCATATCATACATGAATAGGTTACAAGTAAGTGGCTTTCAAGAATAAACTCCAACTAGGTCAACCTGAACATAGCCCACCAAAGCATTGACTTTGACAATCCAATTCAACTAATATTATTGAGGGCCCTGATTTGAGTAATCATTTAAGGCTGGGCTGCTAACCAAAAGGTTGGAAGTTTGAGTCTGCCGAGACACTCCTTAGAAGAAAGGCCTGGTGGTCTAGTTCTGAAAAGACAGCAACCAAAACCTTGTGGAGCACAGGTCTACTCTAATATGCAAGAGGTGGGACCCAGGCTCATAGACTCCACCACAAAAACAAAACACCAAGGATCCCTGTCCCCAAGAGGCTTGCAGTCTAGTGGGAATTAAGAAGGAGTCTGGCAATAATTTATAAGTACATCAAATAGTGTGTTATACCATCAGAGCTGCTGGGGAAGAAGTATGCAGTGGAGCAGAACAAAGGGGCCACCGAGCTTGGGAGGTGAAAAAGAGGTAGCTTGCAACATTAAATGGTGTGGGCAAGGCAAGGGTGCGCACGGATTATTCTCAAGGCTGGCCCGGTCATTGGTGATAACATTGCTATTGCTCAAGGCAGGTTTCCTCTTTCCGTGGGGTTTGTGCAGGCACCAGGCCAGTTTCAATACTACACATCCCACTGTCTGTGCCCAACCAGAATTTGTTGACCAGCTCACCCAATGAATGGAGACCTTGTTTCTGGCCCCAACTGAAGATGCCCACCCACTTCCCTGCAGCTGCCCTTGATTACCCAGCCATGAACCTCAATGACTTGGCTGTTTTAGAAAACCAGGCAGGCCCTCAACGGATGAAGAGTTGCCATTGTGGTGGTGGCAACTAGAGTAGACCTTTCTAGAGTCAGGTTGAGCAATGGAAGCCTGACTGGACAAGAGAACCAACTCTTATAGTGTTTGCTCCTGTACAGACAACAATCTTTTGGAAATAGGCGCCTGGTATGGATGGCTGCTTAGAAGGGAATGCACTCAGGTTGGCTCCCCCCTCCCCATCCCTGGGCTGGAGGAACTTCCCCAAACACCTAGAGAGACCTGAATTGTCAGTCATAAACAACAACAATAAAAACCCAAATCCATGGTCATGGTCTTGATTCCAATCCATAGTAACCATATAGCATTGAGTAGAGCTGCTCCATAGGGTTTTCCCAAAGAAGACTGCCTCTCGTTTCTCCCCAGGAGTGGCTGGTGGGCTCCACTAAAGTTAGCCTGTATCCATAGATATCTATCTCTGTACTTACATACAGTCTTCAGTGCATAGTAGATGAGGAGAACAGACAGAGAAAACTAGTGCATGGTGCAGAGAGCAGGAAAAAGCAGTCATCTATAGAAAATAACAAGAACAGGGTGCAGGAGGCACACTTGTGGATATGGGTGGGGGAGGACAGCACTGAACAGTATCATAGCCTGTTGGGAAGAATGAACTTTTGAAATGGACAGCTCTCAAAAAACTAAGCAATACAAAACTCTCTACCTTTAAGACAATTACATCTCATAGTGACCCTATAGGACAGAGTAAGAAGTGTCCCTTTGAGTTTCCAAAACTGTACCTCTTTGAGGAGTAGATCTATCTTTCTTCCGTGGAGGGACTTGTGTATCCCACCACACCACTGGAGCTCCAGTCTCTGCCAGTGAGTTGATTCCAACTCATAGGTACAATATAGTTACACTCTCTTATAGAGTATAACTGTTCTTGTGGTCTTCTGAGACTGTAACTCTTTAAGAGAGGAGAGTAGAAAGCCTCATCTTTCTCCTGTGGAGTCACTGGTGGTTTCAAATTGCAAAACTTGCAGTTAGCAACCCATTGCATAGTCCACTTTACCACCAGGCCTCCTGCTGCTAGGTAAAGTAGAAACAATTCAGGTCTCTCTAGGTGTTTGGGGAGGAGAAGGAGCTGAAGTTCCTCCAGCACAGGGATGGGGAGGGCACAGGAGGGGGGAGCCAACCTGAGTGCATTCCCTTCTAAGCAGCCATCCATACCAGGCTCCTGCCTGCTGGTTTCTCCCTGTAACCCCAGCATCCCCTGCTCAAGCGTTTCCTCCCTGTGAAAAGGGGACTGGGAGATACTGGGGAGGTGGAGTGGGGGTTGGGGGTGGTAAGCAGGGAGTGGCATAATTAATCTGATTGACATTTTATTCCTAGCAAAAAACAGCTGCAGGGAAGCTTCATGGAAGACCCTAGAGAAGTCCCTCTGGGAAGTGGGGGTGGAGATGTGCAGATTTGAGGGCAAAAGACAGAAAGGGGATACGGGTCTGCCCCTCCTCTCCTCAGAGCCTAAAAGGTTGCTAGGAACTCAGAGGTGCTGGGAGCTCAGGGCACTGAAAGCAGTAAAACTGAGGCCAAGGGACAGAAGCTTACCTGACGCCCTAAGGCAGAGTTGGCTGTGTCTCTGGGCAGTTCCTCAAAAGGAGGCAGGGGAAAGTGACAAGAAAGTTGGTTCTTAAATAATTTTCTAAGAGTCCCCACCCTCCTTTCTGGTCCCACAGGGTTTTCTCCTCCCACTTCTTGACAAAATTAGCAAAGAACTTCAGGAACTTTCCATTTACTTCTGCCTTCCTGCTCAGTTATTCTGGTGAACTGCCCCCTGCTTCCCTGCCCCCAGTGGCCAGCCTCCACCCCTCCTGATTGCCAATTCCTTGGCCTAAAGACTAAGCTCCAGCCCTAAACCCCAATTTAGAAACCTCACCTGTTTCTGGGAATACCAGACACCATGAAGGTTCCTGTATCTTCCTTTTGGTCATACGGGCAGGAAGAATTCTCCCTTTACAAAGGAACCTCTTTGCCATTCAGAATTGGGCTGGCTTGGTAGAAGGGAAGTCTGTCCCGCTGAAGAGAGGTCACACAGGCAGTTATGACTATGCACAAAGTAAATGGAACATGTCCTTCTTGTGAAAATAAGACTGTGGGTATGCTCTGTGTTCTTGAATCATCCAGGGAGCCACAGCCACCACTGAGTGAACCACAAGACTTCCTGTAGGAGGTGATGCTTGGCCAGAGGGAAGATTAAGAACTGTCTGTAAGAATGTTATAAAAACTGGAAAATAACATGCTGTTTTTCTTGTTGAAAACTATGTTGGTTTTATACCAAAATAATTCCTGAAAGAAGCAAGAACTTTGCACTTGAAATTATATATATTATATATATATGCAAACATATCTAAAATATACATATATATATATATATATATATATTTGTATGAGGGGGTGCCCAAAAAAAGGAATTTTTTTCTCAAAGCTATGTGTTAATTATTATTATTATTTTACAAAACAACCTTATCACCTTCAAAATACTTTCCACTACACCTAATATATTTGTCAAATCTGCAATTTCATTCTTGGAAACAATTTTCAAATTCATCTGTTTGGATGTCTGACAGAACCTGCCTCATTTGCCATTTTACTGCTTCTACATTGTCAAATCTCTGTCCTTTCATGTCCCTCTGCATTTGCAAAAAACAGAAAGAAGTCACAGGAAGTGAGGTCAGGTGAGTAAGGTACATGAGGCAAGGGAGACATGCTGCTTTTTACCAAAAACTGGCACATTGAGAGCGCTATGTGAGCAGGTGCGTTGTTGTGGTGGCAAAACCAGTCCCCCATCTGCCACAAATCAGGCCTTTCAGTTGCATACTTTTATGCTATCTGTTCAGAGCCTCTGATAGAAAGCTTGATTAACAGTCTGACCTGGTGGGACGAACTCCAAAGCACTATAAGTTGACACTTCTATCCATTTGGGGAGTTTACAGACGTTCCGAACAAAGTTTGTCATCAATCAATATTTTGCCTTTTTTGAAACTAGAAACACTTGAATTTTTCCCATAGCATTGTCCTTATAAGCTGTGTTCAACATCACACCAGTTTCTGTAGCATTTTTCCCACGCAGGAAAACAAAATTTCACAGCCGCACGCTGTTCTCTTAAATTGGTATCACAAAATGGGATTTAAGTGAAACTGCTTTCATGAAAAAATTCACTGTGACCAGTGAAAACCTTCCCAGATGATGCCACTGGGTGCAGTAACTCAAGAGTGAGTTGCTCGATGCTCACCTAGTGGTGAATATGTGACTACGAAAGCTCCACCCAGGGGAGATTATTTCCGTTTGGTTTTTTTTTCCGGCGGGGGTAAACCCTCATCTATATATATATATACAGTACATATATTAGAGTCTTTGTATCTCCAAACATATGCCTTTTCCACCATGGCTCTTCTAACATTCTTTACTACCTTCAAATGTTTAAACCTATAACTTGATCTTCTAATTTCATAAAGGGAAAAAAAACGTGCCACTGGTTAGAATTTCCCTGTTTTCTACTATGGACCCAATTAGTTTGCCTGTATTGTCACATGTTTGTCCCTCTTTACTCTTGCAACTAACGTAGAAAATGTGTGTCCTCTCTTGGCCTATAGCACAGTTGTGATTCCATGCTCGAATTCTTGCCCTTCCTGTGGGGTTCTGGGATAAATTCTTCAATAATGCACATCATGTGCATTATCATTTATCAGTGAAGACAGTGTAAGTTCTGTTTCAATGCTGAACAGGTTTCAGTGTAATTTCCACTGAGAATAGTAAGAAATGCCTGGAGATTTACTTTAAAAAAAGTATCCAATGAACTGGCAAAATCAAATATTATCCACATCATCCTCAACTCTCCACTTCACCTCTTTTATTTCCTCTAACTCATTGCCCAGTGCTCCCAGCCCTGTACTTCACTTTGGTCCAATCATAAAGAATTTATTCTCCTGTACCCTCTGTCAGGATCACGTTCCTCTCTTATCTCCTCCTGTTTCCACAGTCTGTTTCTCATGTACTGCCGACCTCAGCTTGAGTTACTGCGATGCTCCCCAAGAAGCATGCCTTGTCATTACACTTCTCATGCTGCTTGGTGATTTTCTGTGTCCTTGAGTGTATACCCATGAGATCATTGAAGATACGGACCCAACCAGAGTTCCTCGAGCCACAGAGGTTGCCACAGTTCTTTTTCGTATCTTTGGAACGATGCTAGAAGAAGATCCTAGAAAAAGTGTCATCATATTTTTATTATTATTACTTTGAAGCTTTTTATTGTGAACTGGATAAAAGTTTACAGAGCAAATCAATTTCCCATTCAAGTATTCATACATATTTTGTTTCATATCGTTTATTACAGTCCCCAAAATGTAACATCACTGATTCTATCCCATTTCCTTCCTGGGTTTTTGACCCCCATTCCCTTTTCTTTTCCAACCCTTCTGAGCTTGTTCTTATGTAAATGTTGTGCTTTGGTTGATTGTTCTAAGATCTGTGTACCTCGCTAGCATTATTGTTCCCATTATAGACTGTCTATTGCTTGGTTGAAAATTGAGCCAGAGATGAGTTTAGTTTTAGGCCTGAAGGGATAACAAGGGACTTAGGGCCTAGCTAATGAGTAAACCTGGTCTTTTATATGATTTTGAGCTGTTGTTGTTGTTTTTAATGGTTTTATTGGAGGCTTGTACAACTCTTGCCACAATCCATCCATCCATCCATCCATCCATCCATCCATCCATCCATCCATCCATCCATTGTGTCAAGCACATTTATCCCACAATGTTCTCCTACTCTATCTAAGACCTAAGATGATTTCCCTTTCAGAGCAGTTGGTTGTGTTAGTCTGGCATCATCTTCTTTTTATGGTCTCCAGGTAGTGGAGACTAGTGTTTCTATGGACCATGAAACAAACAGACAAAACCACCTCATGGCCATCAAGTGGATTCTGACTCATAGCAACCCTACAAGACAGGGTATAACTGGCCCTCTGGGTGTCTGATATTGTAAGTCTTTATGGGAGTAGAAAACCTCATCTTCCTCCTGCAGAGCTGCTGGTGGTTCTGAACTGCTGATTTTGTGGCAATCATCCTAACACATAGCCTGCTACACCACCAGTGTAGTGCTAGGTTCAGATCCCTTGCTGTGAAGGTGCCCAAGGAAAAGTGTTCTGGGACTACAACATATTCACTATTTTAATGGCACTTGATACCTTATGACATATATTAATCTGGTAAGCATGGTTCTGCCTTTGTGAGTGATTGTTACTGAAAGTTTTGCCCTATCACCAGCCCCCATTGCTTGTCTAAATAGTATCCAATCACTTAAGAATTTAATTTTGACAAGTCAACAATTCATGCATTACAATCTGGAGCTGGCATATACTTATATCATTTCCTTTCCTCAACAGTGTTCTAAATTCTGTACAATTTGTTGAATTAATGATATTATCAGTAGATTTACCTTATGCCCCAGGAAGAGGGTTTATAAGTTTCTTCATCATAAAATGATAGTGATGTCTCTAAAATGAGACACATATAAATCAAAGATATGTGACTAGGTTTTTAGGATCACACTTAATTCTAGACCCAATCTAAGAAAAATTATTTCTTATGACTTGGCCCTGCTCAATGGTCTCCTTCATAAAGAAATCACTGAAGGTATGAATACTATAAAAAAAAGTGTAGTGAAGAAGCCAAGCTGTCAGGAAAAAAATACCATTTGTGGTCTTAAAGGCTTATCTTCAAACAAGCAACCACCTAAAGTGAGTATCGACTAAGTCCATGTGGTAGTTATATAATCTGGTGTCAATTTGAGACTATTAAGAATGAAAGGGTAGAGTTTAGCCTGTCAATCAGGTTACAACTTGACGACCTCATTTGGAGGCACTACAGAGATAAATAGCTTGCTGGAGGCAGGACACACACACTCACCTGGGAGACTTTCATGTTGACAAACCATGTGGAGCTATGCTGATGGCAACCAGAGACTTGGAGCTGGAGGAGTCACATGGAAACCCATGCCAGCGCTAAGATGCTTCCACCACCACTGGATCCACAAGATTTTCTACCTACTGGCCTGTGATCTTCCTGCACTCAGCATCATAGCATGTGTTGCATGAATTTGAAGAGGAATTTAGAAACTAGTATTGGACATATGGGCTAATATCAGACTTACGGACTTGATCTGGACTACGCTGGAAGGTTTTCTTAATAAATAATTACTCTTTGATAAAAAGTTCTCTCTCACACACATATGATTGTCCCTGGATTTGTTTCTCTAGTCAACCCAGACTGACATTTGAATAAGTTCTTCTGCTTTGAAGAAGTTCAGTCTGCTGTGATCCAAGAACTGTAAGTAATAAAATCCAAATCAGAAGGAAAAAATAGTATCACAGCTTCATTTATGAACACCCAGTTTGCCTAAGGTATGGATAACAGATGAAGCCCAAAATCCATTTTCAGGGTCCACACTTGGAATAAGCCTCTGGTGAATCCCTCTGAACATAGTTGAGGGGTGTGCATAGCTTTGTAACCAGACAAAGAGCATTGTAAAGTCAATTATGGTAAATGTAGTTTACTTAAAATGTAATACCTTATCATTTTATTTCCCTTTTGACCCTTTTAAAGTTTTTCCAGTTTTCAATATTTTCTGCTCTCTTTTGATTGAAGTTTTTCTATATTTGGTCTAGTCAATGTTGGTTTTCTTTATTTTGTTTCTTTGTTTCCTGTATATGTTTTGTATGATTTCCTGCATAGCAAATCTAGGCTAGGTAGATCTATGGAGACAGCAAGTGAGTTGATAATTGCCTAGGACCATGGTAGAGAGGATGGGGAGGGGTGGTGGCTGGGGGAAATGGGGTGCTAACAAAAATGAATATGCAGAGAAAATGTTCTGACGATAGTGCAAATCTTAATTTGTATCACATTGTATGATATGTGATGCATATGCCAA